TTAATGAGTAATGAATAGGTCCCTTTACAAATGATGGAATTTACATTGTTAGTCTTTTGAACTGCTTTGCTAAAATAACATGAATTGTACATTTATAACTTTTTCAGAATCTAATTATTTTTATAAGATTCAATGGATTAGTCTTTAGGCATTTTTTCCTTTAAAATGCATCCCCATGTAAAAGAACTTTGTCTCTCTACAAATAAGTATAAATTTATGAAATCCGTCAGCTCATCAAACAAAACAGTTTAAGTGAAGTCATGAATTCATGAAATCCTTCTGCTCTTAAAAAGTGGGTCAAAAATCTATGAAATATGACATCTTTCAAACAAGGTCAAAAATTCTGATTTATCATTGTTAAGCTTTAACTTGTTGGCAGTCATCCACAAATTGATGTCAGCAACGCAGTTCTCAAGACGTTGTTTTGCAGCCACTAGAGTAGCAGGGGAGGCACCGGTTACTCCGGTTCTTTGCGGGGAATTCCATTAACTTGGGGGGGAAATACATTAACGCAGATGACGTCATACATCTCATTAAGATAGGATGATGTCATAGTTTAAATTAATGCCGATGACGTCATGCATGCCATTAAGATAGGATGATGTCATAGTTTATTTGTAGCTGGCAAGGAGCAAGTGAGGTCAGAATACCCTAGGACTTGATGTCATCAAAAAATGTTGACATCATAATCTATAAATAGAAAAGTGATATCATGTCTCTACTCTTTTAACCCTGATTGGATAGTAAACAATCTATTATGTGTTTAACATAAAAGCGCGCTTTCCCTTCAGCACTTCATTCTCGCCATCGCTTTGCTAAGGAAAAAGTCTTACTACCACCAATATTTTTTAAAACATTTTTTCAAACATGCAAGGCGAATCGAGCGCTTCACCTCTGCTGACGGAAGATAAAGCCAGTTCCTTACCCGGTCAGTTCTGCCCGTTTCATCCCCGTTCAACGTTGGAATTGGTAGAAAAAGCGCAAGGATTTTGCTATGTGTACTGCCCTGAGAAAATTATGTTTACCCCTGCTTCGGAATGGAAAGAGGACATAGAGTGGATCGCGCATCATACACACTCTGATGTGAAAAAATATGGAGCCCGGTTGGTCTGTGATTGTTCTAACAAGCTAGCATTGAGAAAAAGTAAACAGCCTTGGAGCCAGGATCGAATGTTTCTGACATGCTACAAGAAAGAGTGTGGATTTTTCCTGTGGATAGACCAGCCAATATCGCATGGTATCAAGAATCGGCTCTCGCATTCACCTCAGCCACGGGTCACAAGATTCCAACCTTATGGGGAGATAAATTTGTATTATTCCCCCTCCTCAATGTTTTTTATTCCCCTCCTCCACCTCCGGAAACGATAGGAGGAGGGAGAAGGAAAACAATACTGAACCTAGAGGAGAGTCTTCCTAGAAGAATTTCATGATCAACCGTATCAAAGGCTGCAGAAAGATCCAATAGCAAAAGCAAAACACCGCGATGACTATCGATGGCTTTGAGGATATCATCCTGTACTCGAATAAGAGCTGTTTCACAGCTATGATTAGCTTTATAAGCAGACTGAAGTTCCTCATTTAATCCATTTGAACATAAATATTCCCAGAGTTGCATAGCCGCTACTTTTTCTGTCGCCTTGGACACAAGCATGAGGTTCGATACCGGTCTGAAGCTTGGATAGAGCTCGGTGTCAAGGGATGTTTTTTTAAGAAGAGGAGATAAAATAGCCCTTTTCATAGGCAGAGGAACTTCACCACTATCTAAAGAGCAATTAACAATCTTTGTTATGATTGGTACCGAATCAGAAAAGCACAACTTAAGTAAGTCAGAAGGAATCGGGTCTAGAGGGCACGACTTCCTAGCCATTTTAGTAATTAATTTGCTCAGTTCGACAGCAGTAGTCGGCTTGAACTGGTTAAACTCACATTGAATACAGGGCTCTAATTTAATTTTTGGATCACTAACCCTTCGGGTTAGTAGACATATTTTTTACTAACCAAATTATAAAGTTTGGTGTCCAAGCTCACAACTAAAAAATCTTGACAATCTTGAAATCTCAAATATTGAACATTTTGTCAATAACCACTAGAACAAATTAAAAAGTAGTCGAAATTGCATGGTGACCTTAAAAAACTTTGACAATTAAGCGCCTAGTTTATTTCCCTCTCGTTTCCCTTGAAGAGACCAGCATGATTTAGGTAGTATTTAGGTATCTGCTAGAGAAGGAAATTCCCGGC